ACACACTGGAAGCTCTATTCCTTTTAGACTCCATGGACTGATATCTCTGTGTTAGACTCACCGTCTTTTGGGTGTTCACATTCCGTTGTATTGTTTAGAACTGATGTTGGGGAAGTTATTTCTCTTTGTTTGGCCTCATATTTCAGACAAAGTCTGACTGTAGGTGGCTACTATTGTTTCCTTTTCTCAGTATAGCATCTCATCTTTATTCTCTGCTGGTGACACTCTGACTCAGCCTTCCTCTTGCCAGCAATATTAGTTTGGTTGTGCTTCCTATACTCCCTGCCTGGATATTGACCAATCAGTGTTTTACTAACTCTATTAGAGTGAAAATCTTCACAATTTAACAGAGGACCATTCCACAGCAATTGCCTGAGTCACATGCCCAAATCGCACAGCCTCTGCTTTCCACAGACCTTACCTGCCAGGGAAAGAGGGGGAGCTCCTAGCACAAGATCACTGCTGTGGTGATGGTGGAGACCTCAGGTCCCACTTCTAATCACCGGTTGGATTTAAGAGCACAGTACATCTCTCTGGGGTGTGAAGTCTCTCCAAAGCACCCTTGATCCTATAGACCCCATCAAACTGGAAACACAGCTCAGGTGTACATCCTGTTTGGAAGGGATCAAGAAAAAGCCTGAAGTCTAACCCAAAGTTTTGATGATGAATAGACTGTGCTCAACTCTCCAGTCACTCAAAGGAAGCAAAGCAATCACTCATTTTCCAGTCTAACCTCAGTCTCCAGTCACTGAGCTTAACCTGTCTGGAACATCTGAGGGCATCTGTTAAAGGAGTGCTGTTAGCTAAGTACAATTCTTGGTTACCCTGTAGGATGAATCTGAATCCATCATATGGAAAGACTCAATTTGGGGCAAACATCATCTGCCTTGCTTTTTAATCCCACCAATCCTCTTCCATAGCATTTGCCATAACTAATCTCTTGATCTCTCCCTAGGTGCCTGAACAACCCCTTGGGGACCCTGTCAGTCACTGACTGCTGGCTCTCACATTCAGACCTGGATTACCTGAGCCAGTGCCTGATTGTGAGCTCAAACATTTGGACCTTGTAGTGCCTGAGCTGTGGTCTGTTCCACGAATTGGGCGAAGGCCTAGAGATTGAAATAAAGACAAGACAGCGGGTCATTCATTCAATGGCAATGTCAGAATGCCAAATGCCAAATGCTGTTTATTGAGGGGAAAGAACGGGCTTAAATACTGACTTACAGCACAGTGGAAAATTACAGGAGTTTTAGACTTAGCTCCTCCCTATGAGGGGTGTGTTGTCACAAGGTGTGTGGCATCAAAATGGAAGAGTACCAACAACAGCCTTGGGGCAAGGAGTTCCAGCCAACAGCTTCAGGCTTACTCAAAGTGTCTCAGGGGTTCATGCAGGGTCCTACAGGTCCCCCTTTCTTTTAATATAAGCTAACACCTGCCTTAGGTGGCAGAGGAAGTCAGTATAATTCCTTACCCATCATTGGAGAGGTCACCCAGGCCGGTAACCTTCTTGTTGGATATTTGCCCCCTCTGCCTTACCCATCTATGGTGAATAGTTTGTCAGCCACATGTGGACAGAGGCATTTTCTCTTGAGCCAAAGACAGTATCTGTCTTGTTTGAAATTTGGCCTGGGTTTAGTTGTGGGTGTTTGCTTATGTTTCCAACAGGTACTAGATGAGGGCTCCATGATGGTGGCTAAGTTAGTTGTTGATCTCACTATCAGGGAAGGGCATTTATGGTAGCCTTTCCACAGTTGCTCAAATTGTTAGTTGGAGTCAGTCTTGTAGGTCTCTAGACCTTTCTTTAGGTTCAGTTTTCTCTTCAAACCAATATTGGCTCCCAGTTTTATGTTCTCTCTCTCCCTCTCTTTCAGGGAAATTATAATTCTATCAATTACAAAGCCCTAATCGGTGAAGCTTTATTGAAGAGTGTCCAAAGTAATTTAACTATAGAACAGATTCCTACTAGAATTCCTGTATGAGCCCAGGAAATTGTACAGATCCAGAAATGTCTGGAATTGAAGGACTGTGTTGCCAGTTTTAGGCAAGATTGAAAATACTCAAATTAATTCCACTCTGGTGGATCTTACCTTTATTCACAACACTCAGGATTAAAGTCTTTGCATTCAACCCAGTCTCAGTTCATTCTCTATGTACATCTCAGGCCAGTGACACCATGAACAGCTCACACAGCATTTCTTGTTTTCCACTGGAACAAAAAAAGCCACCTAAATCCCTGATACTGGTCTTGAGCTCACTCTGAATTCCAGGCAGGTTCCTTCTTTGTCATCCTCCTGAATAATGGCCACTCCATGGGCATCAGAATTGCTAGGCTCCCAGACCTTAGCAGAGTTGACTATGTTATGCAATACAAGTGAGGCTAAAAGATCGGTCTGTACACAGCACAGCAAACAAGCTTGTAAGAAGTCCTGCTGCAGCTGGATGGTGGAGGTACACGCCTTTAATCTCAGTACTTGGGAGGCCAAGGAAGAGGGGCCTCACTTTATTAAAGTCCAGGATAGGCTGCAAAGGTACACAGAAAAACCTTGTCTTAAAAAATAAAAGAAAACAAAACCCACACAATAGAATGAAAGAAAGAAATAAAAAAAAAAAAAAAATAAGAAAGGAGTAATGAAAGAAAAGAAATTCTAATTTAGTGTGGTGGTGGCATTTCTCTGTGTTGATCCATTGTTCATGACATTTAAAGCCACTGGAGATCAAAATAGCAAAGCAGCCCTACCAGCTAGCCATAGAAGTCAGGCACACCTTTAATCCCAGGACACAGTTACAGAGCCCACACCTTTATTCCCAGCACTAGAGTGGTATAAAAGGTAGAAGCAGGGGATTGAGTAGTCAGTCTCAGAATTCTCCAGCCTCTCCGAGGAGAGGAAGAAATCTGAAACTTGGTGAGAGTTTGTGGAGACAGGATCAGCGCTTTCATCCTGACATAAAGGTAAGAGGTATGGCTTGGCTGTTTTGCTTCTCTATTTCTGCTAAGGGTGAACCCCAATATCTGTCTCTGGATTTGCTATGTATCTTGCTACACTCAACATTAATAGCAACACATGGGAGTTAGAGGCAGGCAGAACTCTGTGAGTTCCAGGATAGCTTAGCATGGTTCCAGGAATGTAGGGTGGTACCTGAGAAACTCTGTCTCAAAAAGCAATACAATTGATTTTCTAACTTTCAACAGGATCTAACTCCATTCAATCTCTGTCCTGAAAGTAGATCTAATCAACCTGAACATGTCCTGTTTAGATACACTTCCACTAAGGTAGGAAGGTTACTGAAGCCCTCTGTAGATTCTGCTCATCATGGCAATGATTCCATAAAACAGAAAGCTGATAAAAACTATAAAATTAATATATAAAAATACGTAGACAAATCCTTAGTGTTTGAGATGACTTGGAGAATGGGCTTTTACTGTCACCATAGACTCAGGTCATTGTCTTTCCTGATGGGAGAGCTAATCAATCTGGTAACACACAAGCCATACCGCTACATTCAGGTAGGAGGATTACCAAGATTTTCATATTCAGCTCAGAATGAAAAAAGAGTTCAGATAGGGATGAGCTCCAATTTATATGGAAATCTTACAAATGTCTACATGTAATCATGAGAGTAAATCCCAGAATTTAAAATGTAGAAAAAGTTTTTTTGTTTGTTTTGTTTTGTTAATTTTTGGTTTTTCAAGACAGGGTTTCTGTGTATTGCTTTGCAGTCTGTACTGGAATTCAATCTGTAGAACTCTTGAACTCACAGAGATCTGCCTGCCTCTGTGCCCCAGGTGCTGGGATTAAAAGTGTGACTCACCAATGCCTGTGCATGATCCAGTTTTAGAGATGCTCTGAGTCTTTAGTACAATCTGGGCTTTCCCCCTTTCCCACACCTGATTCACTCAAGCCACAGATGTGAAAGTTCAAGTATGATTGGGTGGGAACCTGCTCAAATATCCAATCCGATGGCAGCATTTGGCTGAAGGTGAGGCTATGAAGGGAAGGATTAAGAGGATATGGGCATATAAGGGTCATCATGGCCAGGGTAAACACTGTTTTTTGGATCCTCAAGTCACTACCACACTTTCTTGGATTGGAACACCTGTTATGTGTGTGCTCAGATCAGGTAAACCATTCAACTCCATCAGGGCATACAACCTTACCAAGGATCTCCAGTCTCTCAGGTCACCTTAATAACCTTGGTTTTGTTATTTGAAGCAGAAAATCTCATTTAGTCCAGATTAGCCTAGAATTCCATATGTAGCTTAGTGTTATGAGAACTGAGACTTGGAGTTAGCCTGCTGTGCCCTTTAAGAGATTGCTGAGGTTGCAATATTCAAGGGCTAAGACACACTGAGCAAGGACTCACAGACAACTCCAATCTGGCTGAAAATCATTTAATTCAAAGTTATTACAGACATGTTAACTGAAGATGAAGAAAATTCTCTAGAAGCCAACAGATGGCCATGAGTCTCAGGAAAACATCAAGTGGACAAATAGTCTGTACTCAAACTCCTAAAGAGTGGTCTAGGGCTTTTCATGGCTCCAGGTCTAAAGTTTTGGAAAAGATAGTGACTGTATCCATTTCACACATTCTCCCAACAACTTCCATTGATTGAATGCAAAGCATACGTAGTAGTAGGATTTTTAACTTTGCTCTTGGGGATAAGGAAAGACATTTGAAGATGATTTCCCTCAACAGATTCCAGCTCTTTTTAAATTATCCAGTTTCTCATTGTCCAGGGCTGTAATATTCAGGGGATCAGTGGCTGTGATTGGCAGAAAACATGGAGATTTGTGGCCATGGGTGCTCATGTCCATGAGGCCTTTGAGGAAGACAGACAATGTGTAATAGGAAAAACAGGTTTTTCCAACATTTCTAGACTAGGGACCAAAGCCATGCATGGTTTATGCAATGAAGGGGCAAAGAGTCCTGCTAAACGTGACTTGTCTGAAAGGGTTAATTCCTCTGAATATTTCTATAGCACCTGTCTGTGTAATGGAAATATGAGCTCGCCCTTGACACTCCAGATGCTGGCAAGAAGTAGTCTGCTCAAAAATGAAGCCTTGGCTATCTCCGCTCTGAATATGCTACCCATGGAACTCTTCCCACCGCTATTCAAAGATGCCTTTAAGGGGAAACAAACAAACATCCTGAGTGCTATGGTGGCAGCCTGGCCATTCAGATGCCTTCCTGTGGGAGCCCTGATGAAATTTCATGACCTGGAGATCTTGAAGGCTGTGCTGGATGGCCTTGATCTGCTGATTCAGCAGAAGGATCGACCTAGGTGAGTGAGAAAGTGTGAGCATGGAGGGGAAGAGTGTGGATGCAGAGAAGTGACTACACAGTTCAGAATGTAGATGGAGTTGATGAGAGCTTTCTTAGAGAAGTGAATAAATGAAAAGAGACAGTGGTACATGGAGCACACTGCTAAGAGATGTAGTCAACACACAATGAGTCTACCACGGCCTCTGTAGCCAGCCCATAGAAAGGGATTGAGTCTTACTTTCCAGAATGCTTTCAAGGGGAGTGGATGTGTGAGGTGAAAGCAGATTATACATTGTTAGTCCTGCCATTTGAATCCCCTTCTTGTTTGACCAGCAGGAGTTGCAAACTAGAGGTGCTTGATTTTCGGGATGCCCATCATAACTTCTGGAATGTGTGGGCTGGAACAGAGGATGGTGTCTGCTCTCCAGATGTCATCAGAGAGACCCAACCAGTGGTGCACCATCCCGAAAGACAGGGAAAAGTGGTTGTGACTGTGATGATGAACCTTTCCCTCAAGTCCAGGCATCTCTGTAAATGTCTAAAATATTTCTGCTGGTGGGCCCAGCAGAGAAAAGATGTGCTTCAGGTTATCTGTGAAAAGCTGGAGTTTGGTGCCCGTCCTTTCTATAACCCCCTAGAGCTGCTGGAGGTATTTGAACCATGCTGTATACAGGATCTGGAAGTAAATGCTCACTGGGACCTGAGGACCCTTGCAATGCTTGCCCCTGGCCTGGGCCAGATGAAAAACCTTCAGAAACTACGTATCAAAAAAATCTTCATGCCCTTGCATAGTTTTTGGAACCAAGAGATGAAACAACAGTGCTTTCGACAGATCATTTTCCAATTTTCCCAACTCAACAAGCTCCAGCATCTCTATTTGAATTGTGTCTTTTTCCTGAATGCAAGACTGGACCAAGTACTCAGGTGAGAAAAGATAGAGAGGTTGTTCCACAGGCCAGAGAAAGCCTTTCCATATTACATAAGACACCAGTGTACACCTTGTGCTTGCAAGGCACTAGTGAGTACACATGGATATGACCTCTGAATGATTGATTTAGTAGTCTTTCTGTTATTCCAGCAACAATAATCTGGAATAGTTCTTTGAAACCTGATCCAGAGAAGGGATGATGTTTAAACCACATATTGCCCCATGTCAGCACTGTCCTGTTGCACAGTTTACATCGCTCTCTGATTCTCCAAGGGACAGGGGCTCTCTGAGCACAGGTAGTGTCTAAGTCAATGGAAAATAACTGAGAGTGATTAGGGTCACAGGGAAGACCTCTCAGTAGTACAGAGGCTTTGCTAGGAGGTGGGACTCATGAGGACCAATGTTAGCACACACAGGTAAGGCTCTGAGTTGCCACCAGGTCTTCTTTCTTGGTTTCCTGCTGGCCCCATCCATTTGTCTTCTGATGAGGTTTTGAGTTTGACAGCGCAGAGGAACCAGGGTTGGGGACCTAAGCAGTCACATGATTTTGCCTGTGCTGTTACTTCTCCATCTGAGAGCATTCTGGACTTAGCCTCCATCAAGTTCTCAGAACGACATTAGGACATACTAACCTCTGCTCACTTGAAGGTGGTGTCCTTTCTCTACCACTATTAAACTTACTGAGATAATCTGCTTTGTCTTTCTGTAGGAACTTGCACAGTCCTTTAGAGACCCTAGCAATCACTCGCTGTGCACTATCAGAATCAGACATGAGTTACCTGTCCCAGTGTCCAAACGTCCATCGGCTCACACATCTGGACCTGAGTGATGTCACCTTTTTAAATTTAAGTCATCCACTTCTGGAAAGACTTCTAGAGAGATTGACAGCTACCCTGCAGATATTAAAATTGAAGGGTTGTATGCTCATGGACTTCCAAATCGATGTTATCCTCCCTGCCCTGAGCCAGTGTTGCCAGCTGGTGAAGGTGAATTTTATGAAGAACTTCTTGTCTTTGACAAGCCTTAAGAAGCTGCTTCAGCATACTGCCAACCTGACACAGCTCACTTTGGAGATGTACCCTGCCCCTGATGAAGTGTATGATGACATTGGTGATGTCCTGCCAGACAGATTTAACCAATGTTGTTCCGAGCTCCTGGAAACTCTTAGAGCAGTAAGACAGCCAAAAGAGGTCTACTTTGTGAGTAAGAAATGTCTAGATTGCAGGGGATTCTGTGTCTATTACCAGAAGGCCTCCCTATGTTCATGTTGGGAATAAAGGATGAGAGATTACTGCTGGCCTGAGAAATGAAGGCAAGGACTGTAAGGAGTACGGTTTTTCTGCCTGCTGCCGCTGGTCTTGTCCCGCCGCCGCGCCAGCCCCAAACAATACACTGAGACTCTGTATTAGATATAATTCTGTTGGCCCGGTTACTTATTTCTTATCAGCTAGCTCTGTCTTAAGTATTAACCCATTTCTGCAGATCTATGTATTTCTCTTACCGGGGAGCCGCCGGCATACTGCTTTCTCCCGACTCTCCATCTTGGCTCCTCCTCACTACTTCCTCTTTCCTCCTTGTCTCCTAGTCCCTCCTATCTTGCTTTCCTATTGGCCAACAGTGTTTTATTCGTTAACCAGTATGAGAAGCATATATACATAATGGTATCTCCCATCAAAGGACTCCAATGACTCTTTAGAGAGACACAGATCTTGTCTATTCAAGGAGTTTTGGATATATTTGGAGACAATGTCATTCCAAGGAATCAGAGGAGAAAGAAGGTTTGACATGGACAATCAGGAGCTGCTCATCTGCTCAGGTCCAATGGTGAAGACCCAACCTCAGATAGGAAAAGAGATTTGAGAACACTGTGGACTGTCCCCACCACAGTCAGTGTGTGAGAGTTCATAGACACAGGGCAGGGGATAAAGACAGATCATAGTACAAAGAGCACCATGGACTGGATGAAATGTGTTCCATGTCTCTGCTTCCACCTTTTCTTTGTCTAACTTACATAAAGTTTTGTAATATGTGCATATATATTTCCTTTTTGAAGAGAAACATTGACTGTAGAATGAACTGTTGAGAGTATGGTCCTCTCCCTTTTCAACTGAGATCTGTCTTTCTCTGGTTATGAGAGGTATTTAAGATGGATATTACTTGTGCCACCATCCTTAACATTACAGTTTTCAATAAGTTTAATAAAAAATGCTTTTGCATGAGAGAGTGTTGCAGACATTTAATTTACTAAGGTTTTTCTTTGTTAATCTCAGATTTGTGCATTATGCTTACTGTGTTTGCATACTTTTGTGTTACCAGTAAGTTTTCCCTGCCAGTCTGGTCCCACTGCCATGCCAGCACCAATTAATACACAGAGACTCTATTAGATATAATTCTGTTGGCCAGTTACTAGTTTCTTATCGACTAGCTCTGTCTTAATTATTAACCCATTTCTATTAATCTAAGTATATCCATGTGGTCTCATCTTACCAGAGAGTGGGCCCAGATCTATGTTCTCTCCAGTCTCTACATGCTGACTCCTCCCTACTCCTTCCTCAAATCCTCCTTGTCTCGTAGTCCCACTTATCTTGCTTTCTTATTGGCCAACAGTGCTTTATTCATTAATCAGTATGAGAAACATATTTACAGACTGACATCTCCCATCATCTCCTCTTTTCTATCTAAAGAAAAAGAAGGGTTTTAACCTTGACATAGCAAAATATATCACACAACAGTTATCAAATAAGAATCAGAGTTAACACTATTTAGTCCATTAACATTTAGTAAGATTTAAGAAAAAATTCCATCATCTATCCTATCTTTGTGTGTCTAAATTCTTACGTGTAACATATTTTTAATCCTAACTAAGGAAAACTATAACCATAACTATCTGTTTTCAACTCCATCAAAGACCACAGAAGGATAATATATAAACTCTAGAAATGACTGAGACAACTCACTGCCTGGTCAGTCACCTGAAATTCTTTTGTAATCTTCCATCTTCAGCCCATAGGCCATAGTGTGTCTGGTAGACTCTTCAGCAAAGCAGCAAATTTTAAACTGTCCATCTGTATTGGCAGTTTGTCAGTCACTTTTTTCTGTGTTTTGCAGACTGTCTGGCAGACTCTTCCATGAAGCAGGAGCCCCACATCATGTTAATCTTGTATCAGCAGTCACTTTCCTGTGGGTCCTGCATGTTCAGTTTATACAGCATAAAGTCAAACAGTCCAGACGAAAGCAGTATCTTTTCCAAATGGCTAATCTTGCCATATTGGAAGTAAACTTCATATCACGTTTTTTTCGATGTCCATCTTCCTTTCTGATACAGGCATGTTGCCAGGAGCATTTATGTCTCACTGTCAAGAAAAATACTAAACCATTTAAAATGCCATATTCTGTAGGTCTTTGACAGGTTTGAAGAATGACTAACTATCTCAAATACATGTCTGTATATCTAGAAATCTTAACTGACTTAACAAGATCTGACTATCATAGGTACTATCTATAATCTATATTGAATTATACATTACATTTCTACACAATACCTAAACAAGAGGAGAAATATACATATCAGAAAATTGACTTTAAATTGTATCAAATGAAAATCCATTCCAAAACAAAGTATTCATATCTATGCCATAATCCCCATTTTACCTTTAAAAAGAGATTGGTTGTGGTCATTAACCATTTATAACTATCCCCATTTAAATGAAAACAAACATTTATAAACCATATTTGGGAATTTGGGCATTGTTCTTTCCAAACTGTTTCCTGCTGATAGGGGGCGCTGTCATTGGGGATCCTAAGAAGATACAGAAATCCTGGCTGTAGTCTGCAAGGCTGCCTTGTTTAAGTTGTTTTGAATGTTGGATCACCAGGAACTCTGCTTCAGGGGGCCTGGCTTGATCAAACCATGTTAGTCTGGAAGGAATCCACAGCTGCTCATTTTCTGAGAGTGAGGCCGACATCTGCTCTCGTCAGTCTCTACATGCTGACTCCTCCCTACTACTTACTCAAATCCTCCTTGTTTCTTAGTTCTGCCTATCTTGCTTCCCTATTGGCCAACAGTGCTTTATTCATTAACCAGTATGAGAAACATACTTACAGAATGACATCTCCCATCACTATTGTGTCACTTTGTATCTACACCTTCTGCATCTTAGAACTTTCTGAGAAATAATAACCTAACATGCCATGCTCTTGGTTTTTTTTTTCTTTTTTTTTACACCACAAGCTTCATGTAATGTGATGAGAAAATCTGAGAGCATCTCTTGGAGGGATGGCTCAGAGAATGAGGGTGCTTCCTGCCTTTTCTGGGGACCTGTGTTTGATCTTGGGGGGGGGGGCAAAAACACTTGGACCTGTTACCGGATATTTGACATTCATTTCTTTTTTCTGGAAGCACTTGCTGTCACCTCCATCTACATACACACATACCACACACATACCACACACATGCCCTTTAAGAGACATATTTAAAGATAAGTAAAATTAAAGTATGTAAAATATACAAATAAACCCATGGTATTAAATAGGAAGATAGTCTAGAGGTTGATAACCCCACAGGGTTTAACACATCAAAGTATGAAAAAGCTAATGGCAGGTATATTGACAATGTCCATGTGGGATCTCCATAGCAGAGGACAAGTTAGAAGATTATGTATATTCATGGGTAAGGGTCATGGTTCTGACTCTATGGTTAATACTCACCATGTATGAAGGAACACATTGATCCCCAACTCTATCTTCCATGTGGAAGGATGACTTTAAGTACCTTTGAGATGCAGGGTTCCATTCTTTACTCTTGACAAATGTCAGCATCAACTTCTGAAAGCTCTTCCCAGTCTCTGTCATCTTTTCTCCCTCAAGATAATAAAGCTTCACTGCCATGTTTTAGGGACATGCCTTTTCTTTCATTTATCATCTTGGACTATATGTAGGTGTCTCTCTCAAATGGTCTCACTACACAGGTCAGGCTGTCGCTGAACTCAATGTGTTGACTAGGATAATTTTCAAGGTTCCACAGGAAATACTGTGGATCACAGTAATGTCTTTGCACCTATGTAGCAATCTCTCATCCATGACTAGCTGTGCACTTCTGTTGATTGCATATAATAAATGTGCTGTGTTATTGGGTTGCTGGTGTTTCTCCTTCAGAATGCACAGCTCACTCCACCACAGCATTTCTCTACCTATGCCTGTGTTTTTGTCTTGTCCCATCTCACAGACCCAGACAGTCTCAAAGATGTGCAGGTCCTGAAATCCTAGGGCCAGTCCTCTTATCAATAGGACACAGAGCACAAGGCTTCACACGGGGTTCAAGGTTTTGGAAACAAAGTGGTATGGAGTAAGCTCCGTTCCCAGGTACCGAGTTTGATATGGAGAACAATGAGATGAGGCACAGGTGTCTGTTGAGGTAGAAAGACAATTGTGTGTTTCTAAAGTATAATTTGGAGCCAGGCAAGTGTTAACTTGTAAATAAACTCATAGTAGGGATGAGAGAGTATTTCTCCAACATGGTAGCCATAAAGAGATAGTCAGACCCTAGGAGCCTGGGGCAGTACAATCTCTTGGCACTCTCAGTCACTGCCCTCTTCATTTGGGTCTTAGGTTCAAGGTTAGGAGAATCCTGCAGCTTCCTAAATGGAACTCATTATGTGGAACAAACTAGCTCCTCTTTACCATGCTTTTGCCTATCATTGACTATGTTGGGATTCTCTCTCATAGCTATGATGCCAGGAACTGGATGTAATGCTTGATGGGACCTGAATACCCTTGCAAAGTTTTCCTCTGGCCTGGGCCAGATGAAAAACGTTCAGAATCTTCTTCTGAAAGAAATCTTCATGCCCTTGCATTGTTTTTGGAACCAAGAGATGAAAGAACAGTGTTTTAGATAGTTCATTTCCAAGTTTTTTTTTCAATTCAACAAGCTCCAGCATCTCTATTTTAATTGTGTCTTCTTCCTTAATGCAAGACTGGACCATGTGCTCAGGTGAGGATAATGAGCACATGGTTTCACATGGGGTTGAAAGTTTTGGAAACAAAGTGGTTTGGAGTTAGCTCTGTTCCCAGGTACCGAGTTTGATATGGAGAACAATGAGATGAGGCACAGGTGTCCGTTGAGTTAGAAAGACAATTGTGTGTTTCTAAAGAATAATTTGGGGCCAGGCAATTGTTCACTTGTCCATGAACTCATGCAATTAGGGATGAGTGAGTGTCTCTCCAACATGGTATCCAGAAAGAGATAGTGAGTCCCTGAGAGGCTGAGGCCATCCATTCTCTTGGCCCTCAGTCACTGCCCTCTTTCAGTTGTGTCCCAGGTTCAAGGTCAGCAGAATTCTGTGGCTGTTCAGGTTGGAAAACAGTGGATTCAATCCCCAGACCTCCCTGTCTATATTAAAACACCTTGTGGTCTTACTGTCCTTCACTTCCTTTCTCCCTGGCATTTCCTGTTTTCCACATGTCTGATGTGACGGTTCATGGATTATGTGCACAGAATTTCCAATGCAATAAGATAAGTCTGGCAGACCCACTGTCCTCTGAAGAAGGTTTGCTCAGTTGGCCAGGAATGCCATCCAGTATGTTCAAGTTAAGGTGTTCCGTTGGAACATAATGTTGGCTGATCTAAAAGGAAAGCATAGTTCAAAGAAATTGGGGTGTGGGTACACTGTCCTCTTCTTTGTCTTTTACTCTTCTTTTTCTTAATAGCATCATACAGCCCAGATTTCCTTTGAACTCCTTACTCTTCCTCATTCTGAGATTGCTAACACTCACCATCATGTCCTGCTTGAAGGCCATGTACAGTGGGGCCTTTTCCCTCAAATCTCCTATCATGTGAGAATAGCTGGCAACCTTCAAATAAAGACCCCCATTACTTGGACATGTTTCATTTTCCTGGCCTCTTGGATTTGCCGACTTAAGAAGTATATTTTTACCCCAAATTGTAATTTCTGTATGCATTTTGGTTTTTCTCTCTGAAATCTACCATTATCCCCTTTGTCTGTACAATTAATGGAAACATAGGAATTTGATTTCACACTATTTTTTCATAATTTATTTTGTTATATTTAAATTAGAAACAATCTTATTTTACATATCAATCCCAGTTCCCTCTCCCTCTCATCTCCCATCCATTCCCCACGGAGGGTGAGGCCTTCCAGGAGGGATCATCAAAATCTGTCAAGTCATTTTGGTTAAGGCCTAGGCTCTCCCCCCATGTCTCTAGGCTAAGGGAGTATCCCTCCTTGGGGAATGGGCTCCTGAAGTCCTTTCATGCACTAAGGATACATCTGGTTAACGTGCAAGAAGCCCCATAGACTCCCAAGTTCTCCTAACTGACACCCTCGTTCAGGCGGTCTGGTTTGTTCTATGTTGGTTTCTCAGCTGTCAGACTAAGGTCCATGAGTTCCCACTTGCTCAGGTCATCTGTTTCTGTGGGTTTTCCCAGCATGGTCTTGACCCCTTTGTTTATCACTCCTCCCTCACTGAAACTTGCTTCCAGGAGTTGGCTCAGTGTTTAGCTGTGGGTGTCTGCTTCTGCTTCCTTCAGCTACTGGATGAAGGCTGTAGGATGGCTTTTCAGGTAGTCATCATCCTCATTATAGAGGAAGGGCATTTAAGGTTGTCTCTCCACTATTGCTCAGATTCTTAGTTGGGGTCATTCTTGTGGATCTTTGTACAATTCCCTAGTGTCAGATCTCTCTTTAAACCTATACTTTCTCCCTCTATTGATGTGTCTCTTTTCATGCTCTCCTTTATTTCCCCATTCAATCTTCCTGTTCCCTTGTGTCCTCCTTTCCCCTCCTCTTCTCCCTCCTCTTTCTTTTACCTCCTTCATACAAGCCCCCTCCTCCCATGCTACAAATATATTCCGGGTTTCTTGTCCCTTTCCCCTTCACCAGGGGACGGTGCATATCTCACTTATGGGCCTCTTTGTGTCCTAGTTTCTCTGGAGGTGTGATTGTATTCTGGTAAACTTTTATTCTGTATCTAATATCAGTATATGACAAAGAACATGCTGCTTGTCTTTCTAAATTTTACAGTTTTTTGCTTCATCAATTTTGTTTTATATTTTTAATTTGGTTTTTATTTTACATATCGAAACTAGTTCCATCTCCCTCCCTCTTTCACTCTCTCATTCTCTCCCATCCATATATACTCCCCGACCACCCTCCCCTCCCATCCCCCTCCAACATGTAGGGTGATGCCCTCCAGGAGGGGTCATCTAAATCTGTTAAGTCATTTGGAGTAGGGACTAGGACTTCTCTCTTTTCTCTCGGTTAAATGAGTTTCCCTCAATGGGGGATGTGCCCCCAAAGTCTTTTTGTGCACCGGTAGTAAGATATTCACTTTGTCTCCTTCTGTGGCACTGACCAAGCCCATTGGGGGGTGGAGCCATGGGTGGAAGTGAGCTGTGGAAGGAGGTCTGAGGAGGAGCTGGGAATGCTCTCTTGGTGGAGGGACACAGAGTGAAGAGGATCCGGTGGAGCCTGCTGGTGTTCATCTGTCTGGGTTGTAAGTTATTTCTCCCTAAATAAACATCTATTCGGCCTCTTTGTTTATCCTGATCCTTATTTAACTGCAATATCTGGTGTCAGAAGCGGGATCAGGATTTTCACAGGACTGGGTTTCACCCAGGAAGCAGACGCCATTCCCCAATTGGCAGGGTCCCTTGCCTAACCAGGTGGATTCACCACAGCTTTGGGACATTTGCCTCTGCCCTACAACTCCTTTGCCTCCACAACGGGCCTGAGAAGGTACTCACTGCTTCTCATTTTTTGCCCATTTCCCCACTTTGCATTCGCACAGAGATGCTTGGCGCCCGCCCTGCTTGTGCATTTCCCGCGGTTAGCCTTGCGGTCCCAGCAATTCCACAAGGCTCCTTTTACGCATTTGTCTAACAAAATTTAGCTTGCCATAGTTTGTTAAGAGCTATTCTACAGGGACCGGGATCAGAGGGATGGTCTGCTGCCTATGCTATTTGGCAGTACACTTCCAGACACTATTTGTTGGTACACCTCCAAGGGTAACTACCACAAGCTGAGATCTACAACTAAAAGCATCAAAGTTCCAGGACAGCAGAATTACACCTAAGGTAATTGTAACATCCTTTGCAATTTAAGCTGATATAATATCTGAGATCAATTGTTCCATACCTATGGCAGATAATTTTATAATGCAGGACTTTAGGAATTATTTTACTTCATATATAGAAGGAATTTTAGCAGAAGAAAATTATGACTGGACCAATATGTACATTTATTTTGTAATAGCAATGGGTTTCATCATTAACATGATATTCAACTCAGTGTTTATGTATGGATCTTTGCTCCTGTTTCCAACAGGCAATAGTTGAGGGCTCCATGGATAAGTTAGTTGTTGATCTCACTCTCCAGGAAGGGCATTTATAGTTGGATCTCACTGGAAACTGGCACTGTCCAGCTGAGGCCTCTTTCTTTAGCAGAGGCCCTGCTTTGGGTGTCCCCTCTTTCCATTTTGTAGAATTTAGAAAATTAAAATATGTTCACTACACTATTGGTAGCTATTCAGGTTTACAACGGGTAATTGCTTTGAATTTGGCAAAGGTTAATTGGGTAATCACAGTTGCTAGAAGTTATGGCCATCATGTACAAGTCAAGATAGCCAATGCTTCAGCATACATCTTTAAGAAAATGAAACAGTTCTTTGATAATAATAATAATATAAAGCATATTACAGGTATATCACACAATCCTACAGGACAGGGAGTTATAGAAAATACAAATTGAACTCTAATGGATATGCTGCTAAATAAACAGAAAGGGATAGTAAAAGATCCTGGAAATAGATTGCATAGTACGTTATTAACTTTGGATTTTCTGAATGCTAATGAGTAAGAAACCACAGCTGTGGAGAGACAAAACAAAACAAAAAAAACAAAACCACAGAATTAAACCAGGAAACATACTTCAAATTTTTGTTGACCTCAGACTGGAAACCAGGATGTGTGTTATGTTTGGGAAGGAGTTTTGCTTTTGTTTCCCCTAGAGAAGAATATCTATGGATAATTTATAATTTCTAAAGACTAAATTTTAATAAGACACTTCTTAATTAGAAGAGATGATAATTCATCTTGAAGCATAGCTGTTTAATCTAAACAAACTCATAAAACTCACAAGTACTTTTTATTTGATCAGATATATCTTGCCAAAAGAGAATTCCCCCAACATTGGGGTTGGAGAAATGTTTTTCTTTTTGTCTTTTCAAGAGAATGAAGGCATCCAGCTAAG